AATGTACGCAAACAGAAATCAAGAGAATGAAATCAGATTCATGAAATCCAGGATATTGAAGAAAAATATTAGGAAAGACAGTGCCATATATGATGTGACCAAAAGCTTAAGAAGTGCTGCCCACCCCTCCGTCGCCCGCTGACCACTGCTCATCCGCTGAAGGAGTCTGGTGCAACGTTCTCTCACCTCCTTCTAACCTCATTTAATATCTCCACCAATGTCCTCTCATCTTATCTGAGGTAGTTTCAGGAAATGCGGGGCCTAATTACATGCAGGCATCACTTCGCTAAGTGCTGTTGGTATTTCCCTCTCATTAAGTCACAGTCAGACGCCCTCTCAGGCTGTTTTCACTGGAATAAACGTACAATTTTAGTCTCTATCTTGTCCCTCATCATGTTCACTTAGGCAAATTGATACATGTTTACAGTTCAATCGTGCCTTTTTCTTTTGAACCCCCGCCCCTCAAACCTGGCCCCGAAATGGAGCCTTATTAAGACAATCAACACAGCGCCATTTGGTGTCTGTAGCAAAAATGATTGAAGGTAAACATTTGAATAAAGACTGACTAAAGACTAAAAGAAACAGCCATCTTCTATCGCTCAATCCTTTAATTTGGGAGGAGGAGGTCAGACGCTGCACCAGCCAATCACAGGGAGACATCTAGAGACAAACGGCCATTTACGCTCATATTGATACCTGGTGTTACATGAGTTACATATTAACTGATTATGTTAACTCCATTCAGAAACAGCACGTGTTGCTGTCGAAGCTTGAACTTGTGATCTCCCTGCTGTAAGGCAGTCTTCACTGTATGGCCCCAGGAAGAAGACTGAACTCATTAAAAACTGGACGTACAGGACATTTGGATATTTGCTGAGCCTCGTTCACAAGTTGCTTACAAAAGATATTCAGCAGATGGGATTTCTGTATTCTCCTTCTCGCTGAAGACTTACTGTACGTACATGTGGTTAGATTGGTGTACACACGCAGCCATTAAAAGATTACACATTTTAAATAATATCATTTTCACTTTGAAAAAGCTTCAGCTTTTTTTTTTTTACAATTGCTCATTGATGTCAGCGTCGCCCCCCGCAGTCTGGTGGGAGTCTCATGTCAACATGTCAAATTGTGCTGGAGAAGCTAGGTTTTTCTTATCATTCAAATAAGAAGGACTGGAACTGAAAGAATGGGAAAACGATGAAGAAGAGAAATGGAAGGGGGAAATCAGCTTGTCCATGAGAAGGGTACCAGATGATAAAAAACAGGGCACGAGGAGGAGGAGGAGACTGAGAGATTGCCCCCTAGGCACTCTTCAATTTACCCTTATGATGGGAACATATTTCCCCTGTGTTGTGGCCATCATCTCTCTCTCTCTCTCTCTCTCTCTCTCTCTCTGTCTCTCTGTCTTTTTTCATTCCTCTAACACACAGACTCCTGCTGTCTCTTGTGTTTCCTCTAATCGTTGCTGCTGTGTTCCTCTTCACCACACCTTACTGCTCATTGATGATTATCCACCAGCCTCATCAGCACCAATGTTCATGTCCAGGGTTTGTTTGTTGGCCAACAGCTGCAGGTTAACCATCAGTACTGCAATACTTCTCTATATACTTTGATTACATGTGTATGTTGTATGCCGTACATTGGATTGTGCTACATTTGTTAGCCAGACTCTTCTGACGAGTCTTTGTCCTAGATTACGATGTTACCGTCGTGTTAGCGTAGGTGAGTGACGTAAGTACTTTTGTACAGTGAGTCCTGACTTTAGGCGTGTTACGTCGCATAGCGGGAACAGTATTCTGATGCAAGTATTCTGAATTAAAAATTCAAATGGAGAAATGCCAACTACAGAGTGCTAACGTTATTTTGTTCTACCCACCTACAACAACAAATAAAAGAATCTGAATCTTAATCTTCACACCATCCCAACATTTCGAACTGCTCCGCAGTTCTTCTCTGTGCCGTTTGTCAGTGTGATGTCCAAAAAGGAAATAGATCATTAACGGCTCAAAAGCTGAGAGGAGGAGATCGCTCCTCTTGCCAGACCTCCTGCATGCATGTTTTTCTGGCTGATGAGGACTGGGATGCACACCAGCACACAGCTGAGCCAACCCTGTTCACCTCCGTATTCATGCCTTTCACTGTTGTCTCTTCCATTTTATAAAACTAAAGCCCTTAACAGAATAGTTGAAGACTAAATTTCGACACGTATGTTTATTTAATGACGACATTTTAGACAAATTAAATATTTTTGTATATATTTGAAATATTTGAATGGAAATCTATGTTGTGATTTTTGGATTGAGTCGACACATCTGCCCCCGGCCACGCTGTAGCATTGTTCATAGTATCAGCACTCAAACAGCTGCTGATCAGGCAACTCAATCCAACTGCTGCGGAGCGTCAGTTTATTTGAGAAAAAGCCAAGACTGTATCCAAGATTGTCTTCTTTTGTCGCTCAGTAATGTCAGGCACACAAAAAGAAAGAAAATAGGACATTTCTAATTATTATTTCTAATCCTGATCTGTTACAATTAAAAGGGAAAAATAATTTTAACTGTCACTCGTGGAGATCAGAAAATTTGGACTGGATTTTGCCTGCTTATTAAGTGGCAGTTTGGTTTAGCATTGTATGACAAACTTAGTCGACAGTAGCTAATGATTGCATGTGTGTCAGTCCTAATGACTTTATTATTCTGTTTATGACAACGTTCCGTTCTCCACCTACAGCTGTATTCATTCCTGTATATTAATGGCTATTCGTGCCTGCAGTGATTAAATGTTACAGAACTTTTTCATGTTTCATTTAATTATTGTGGTTCATTTTTGCAGAGTGTCTTCATGTGAGAAATCCTGCCTTCAGTTAAAAATAAAACCCCTCTCAGTGTAACAGTATTTCAGTGATGTAGAACACAGTTTGACCTACAACTCGCAGAGACGACAGAGAAGTGGGCAGACCCAGCTGTTAGTAAAGTGGGTCAGAGCAGCGGGCATTATCGCATTAATATTTAAAATGAAACAGACCGAAGAATCATGTTGATGCCGGGCAGCGTTAAACAATGGCTACTGAGCAGCTAATAACTATTCACTACATCACTAGAAAGAGGGAAATAAAATATTGCATTTTTAAATGGTATATGTATGAATTCTATGAAATGGTTTTAACTGCAGCATGGAGAAAAGGGTATTGTTGGAAGAGAGAGGGGAAGCAGATGAGGAAACAAGCACAGTCACACACTCGGGTGGACAGTTGTGAGCCTGACACAGCCTGTGATTGACAGCTCTTAGCCAGCCGCCTGCTCCAAAGCCAAAGACTTCATAATAAGCACAACCGGCTTAATTTACTCCTGCAGGCAGTGCAGCTCTGTTCACTTTACTGTCTGTTCACACACGAGCAAGTCCAACCCACTGCATGAAACGATCTTCCTCACCGAAAAATAAAGCAAGTCCCTACATGAGGGATTCTGATCTGATTTACTGTGGTGACATTTTGGCCACAGTTTTACAACGAATGATCAAATCATTATTCAACCATATGAGGTGTTTTATCTTAGGATTTTATTATAGTATGGCGCCATTTGTTATACATTATACTTAGCTTTACTACAGACAGCTAGCATTATGGTTTGACCCTCATTATTTCATTCATATGTTCTTTGTGCTTCTAGTCTATGGACAGAGCAAGTATTCAAAATACTGTTCAATGCGGTTCAAAGGATTATCCACACGAGGGCCCATCACTGGCCATATATTGATTTGAATACATGCGAATGCACTATTGATGTGGAGACTTGTATTGGGATTTTTTAAGTGATACAGTTTATGCTTCCATCAAAACAACTTTTCTCAGGAAAAACACAGAAGAATCACTTTTGTATATACTATAATTTTATATATAAATTCAAATACACTTTGGAGACTGTGAGGAAAAAAAGTTGCTTTTACCAGAGAAAAATATCTGACAGATGCAAATTCAAAATGAGAAGCGCTCTACCTCTGCCAAGAGGTCAAAGGGCAATAATGGGGGCAACATCAGCGATGTGTCAAAAAAAAAAGACCTGAGGTTTTGTTTTTCAAGCTTAAGGACTATTGTGTTAAAGAGACACCACTAAAGATGAATGAAGAAATGATTTATCTGATTCATTTATGGAGCTTTGTTTTGCACGTTGATTTCTTGAAATAAATCCATGGGTTGACCGATGTTTTCAAAACACCTCGTCCCATTTTTTTAAGTGGCAGGCAACACTGAAACAAGTGTTATTATATACGTGCAAACACACACGTGAGACAGCCTGGGGCAACGCCTGACTGAAGTCTGTCCACAGTGGGGATGCTTACTAGTAGTGAGCTGTTATCACAGCTGCAGCACCGACATGGCAGTAGCGTCTTCTAGCATTGGGTCTCATTCATCCAATCGAAAAAAAAAAAAAAAAAAGGGAAAAGGAAAAAAACAGGACACGCTCAATTTGGTGATTATCTAGCATCTGTCCCTTATCGCTCATCTCCAAAAGCCAGTAAAGATGAGCGCAAACAGTCAAACGAGAATCCCGTCCAGAGGAGCGTCTTGATTCGAGCTCTCATTGAGTGTTTTAATCTCACTTGAATCAAATCTGAAAATGGAGGGAAATGTCTGTGACTGTGTTACAAAACAGCCTGTGTGTGCATGCGCTCCACTTTACAGTTGGTGGATATGGCAGTTAATAGACGATGTGATTATAGCTGCGGCAATTAATGCCAGTCCAATGAAATACATGATTACCACATTTAGAACTTAATCTCTGGTCGTTATCCATGTGATGAAAAGGCAAGTACAAATAGAGGCTTTATCCTGTTTACAGTCTGGTCGCTTTTATTTAAATCAACCAGAGTGTGCGGTTGATAAGGCTCACACTATGCTATGTTATTGCTGTGTTATTTACATGCATTGATTTTATTTCCTGTACATGTTGTGTGCCAGCATTTCCTCATTTCGCAGCCTTTTTTTTTTTTTTTCTTCCCAGGCTTCATGGAGGTTACGTTTCTGTCTGGACACCTGGATATTGTGAATCCTGGTGACTCAAAATGCGAATTGCTGCAGTAATTGGTTGCACAGATGCTTGGGAATATGCACGGGCAGAAGGCTGGGAGTGATGAATAAGTTAGATGATAAATGGCAGTGAGGAACAGGGGGTGCTAGATTTTAAAGCTAATTTTAATTATTCTTATTCCTAGTAGAAGTATTACTAGTACTTGTTATTTATTTATTGCATGCAGTACATTGCGTTGGTTTCCCAGATTGTCAAATCTAATTCTCTTGTTATCTCTGTTTCTGCCTCTAGGTGAGACAAGTGCAGCCCTGTCACGCCCACAGCGCCCCCTTTCGGCCCGGACGGCTCACCACGCCCCGGCGCCATTGAAAGGGTACCATGTCAGTCGTAGTCTGTCCCAGCACTCCTCTGGAGGTGGTGGCTCCTGCCGCTGTGGGCCCGAGGACTGTGACGGTCCAGGCAGAGACTACTACCAGAGTCACAGTGACGGACACTACTACCCACAAGGAGGCCCGGCCGAGGCCCTGGCATTGGAAAGGCATCATTCCCATTCCCACTCCCACAGCCACTCTGGAGGGGGAACATTCCCTCGTTCTCAGCACCCACCCCTCCAGTCGTTTGACTCTTGTGAGGAATGCCTACCCTCAGGTCCTGGAGGCAAGATGCATCGCATCCCCCCCAATCTAATGGACCAGTTTGAGAAGCAGGTGCCCTTTCACCCTGACGGCTTCCACACACTGCAGTACCAGCGAACAGCAAGCGGGGGCACTGAGCAACGCAGTGAAAGTCCCTCTCGCATCCGTCACCTTGTCAACTCCGTGCAGCGACTCTTTGCCAAGTCCCACTCACTGGAAGCGCCACCCAAACGGGAATACAATGGCACAAGAGCGGGGGGAGACCACCGTAGTGAGAGAGGAGGTCACAGGAGTGGAGGGGAAGATGGCGGAGGCCACTACAGCGGCCACCAGTCTCGCTCTACAAGAAGAAGTAAATCTCGAGAACGAAGCAAGAGCGGAGACTCCAGGCACGAGTCGGGCAGGCGCCACCGCAGCAAGACAACCGGCTGGTGGAGCTCAGATGACAACCTGGATAGTGACAGTGGTTACCTCGTCAGCGGAGGCAGGAGAGGGTATCCGGCTGGACACGAAAGCCTCGATGCTGCCATCCAGGAGCTCACGATGAAGAAACCCAAGGACCGCAGCGGAGCCCAAGGGCATGGAGAATGCATGGCGTGCACAACTATGGCCTTGACAGGGAGCGATGGAGGCGGTCACCATAGGCACCACGGCCACTCTCTGAAGAGAAGCACCTGGTCGGCCATGACTGTGAGTCAGGCGAGGGAGGTGTTCCCTTCGACGAGGGGAGGAGCTTACAATAAGGCCCTGGTACCCATGGATAGCAAGATGAAGGAGAGATCCTTTCACTACCTGCAGGTGTGTGAGTGTGTGTGTTTTGTCATAATAAGGAATTATTTAGC